AACCTCTGGAGAGGACACAGATGCACGCGCTTGCAGGCGCGCCACTGGTCGCAGTTGTCCCAATGCGCCAATCAGGCTACACGCGAAAGCGCACTTGACAATCCCTTATAAGCCATTATCCCTAGTAGACACGGAGAGTTGCAACACACACGGGATAGCGAGGACTCACTAGTCCGCACCCAATGCCGGGGCTTACCCCCGAGGCGGGACAAAGAGCGCGCTGGAGATCAACCAGCGGCAACAGCCATCTGAGACAGCTCCTCCGGGTTTTGTATACAATAAACCCTCCTCCGGATGGATTCTAGAATTATGCCCTTCTTATTGTGTTCTTCCTTGTGGATTTCCACAGGGCGTAATTCGACGGTGACACATATCAGACGTCATCGTTATAATACGAACGACGCTGAACCCGTCGTTATAACAAATAGTGAGCTGTTGGACCTCTGATTCACAATTCGCAGTTTCGCGCTTCGGGTAGTTAACTATCTGGAGTTGGTACGACTGGCGAGCCAGAAATGATCACTCCAGTCGCCCTTGTCTTTGCCTATATCATTGGCCGCTGTGCGGCGGATGGCGAGGCCCAAGATCGAGCCCCAATGCAGAGCGAGGAGAGTGAGTTCTGTTAGCGAGCGGCGAAAGTTTATCAACCAGTGTCAATATCTCCCAATCTAAACCGGGAAGACAACGAGGCCGAGGTTTAATGGTTAGAGCGTTGGACTTCTTAACAGGCCACATGTTCGAGCCTCGGGTGGTACACCACTTGGGGTTAGATATGATTGGCTGATGACAGTTCAGATATGACCATTCCAGTCTCCGTAGACTTTGCCAATAATTCTCACTACTAGTTGCGCTGTGGCTGCTGACGGGGCTCGAGGTTTAGTCCCAAGGCAGTACGGAACAATTGAATTCCGCGGGTGATCATTAACGAACCTTATAAACAATTTGCGCGGAATTAAATCCTCACAAGAATCGCAACCAAAATTCGCAAGGATCTGCAATTTGAAAGTGGGTTAAAATGCTCATCGAACCCACAATTCCGCCACGTAGAGGCAGACTGACTTGACTGATTTAACATTACAAAATTTTATATATACACTACATAAAGCGTAAAAACAGGAGTTAAGGGCTGCGTGTTCAGGCCCACATTTACTTCAAAAATATTACATAGTGGACCGGCTCTGTTTCGCACACTAGGCAGTACTGGAAAAAACGCCGGTAGTGAGAACCGAGATTGACATGACGCTACCCATGAAAGGATGGTGGGTGTACACAACAGAAGCTAGCGAAAATGCGTGCGGTGCACAACAAGGATAGTAAAGTGTACCAGAGGAAAAAAAATAAGGAAGTCATTTTTTTAAGGAAAAACACAGCTTGGGACGAAGCCGTTTTTTGTTTAAAATTATCTCCTGTTCTCGCCTGACGCGTCGCTGCTCTTCGGCCTCCTGTCGTTGGCGTTCCTCCAGTTTTCGCAGTTCCTCTTCGTACTGCTTCTGTTGTATCTCTTCCTACAGTAAGAAAAATGTCTTAGTAATAAGTCCTACTCAAAATATGTTAGTAACCACTTTTTACTCCCGGTGGAGATGCTAAATCGATGGTGGGAAGTAGACACACATAAAAGCACTCAGTACTCGAAAGTAT